AGCTGAAATTAACCCAATGAAGCAGAACGAGCATATATTGTATTTACTGAATTAAACAGTAAGAAGCTGAAATGATCACATAAGGGTGACGTTAGCAGAAAAAAGCTCAAATTATGGGCTGAAAATAGCTCAGAATCAGAAGCAGAGTACAGGGTAAAAACTTCAATAAAGATTTATAAACATTTTAAAGATGTTAAAGACAGCTCTGTTCAGTTTCAATAAGAAAAACTTTCTCGCTTTGATACTTTAAGCTAAATGTTTGCTCTAACTTTAGCTGTTTTCTTTCTTGTATCTCGTTTCTTTTTGCTAAACTTTTATCTTTTTTATAGCTTTTTACTTTTTAGCTAGCCTTATGCTACTTTGAGGTTTTAATGTTTTGGTACTTCTAATTTTTAGTTAGTACTTAGCTTGTATTTTAGGCACATTGTAGTTTTTTATGCTTATGTATAAATATCCAAAAAGCTAAATAGCTGAATAAGTATAAGTTGCTGAAATGCCCAAAGTCTTAGCACCCATGGCATAAATGAGCTGGAAGTTTTGACACATGAATCTTTGAAATATCACAGAACTAGTTGTGTGCTGAAAATCAGATGGAAGAAAAAGATAATCTGAAGATGAGTTGGAGACGTTTGGCTAACAGTCACCTCCAGTAGTGAATGGTAAGTAATCAGGTTGTAGTTCTCACATTCTGTATCTGCTTGGTCCTCCATGTTGTTAGCGAAGCTTCACTAAAAACACACGGCTCAAGCCGTACTTAGCACCCCGCCTGACATTTATGAGAAACACGACTCCGGAGCAGTCGGACCAGTTTAAACAGACTGCACTCTCAGACAGTGTGAACAAGGAGGCAAACTGTCAGGAATTTGTTCATTTCCCCTTTATTCTGAAACCCACTTTTGTGTCTTTTTTGATAGTGTTTTTTTTGGTCATCTCACTTCCAAAAGCCGAGCGGCGTTGCTCTCCGGAGCTGCGAAGCATGTGGGTCAAAATAGCAGCGCTGAGGGACCGAACAGATTCACCTTTTCTCAAGTTCACATTGGTGGCAGCGGCGGCTGAATTGTAGGAGTTTATTTGGCACGCAGGAACATCGGGGGGGTTCTCGGGTTTCAGTTAGTGGATGCATCAGGTCGCACACAGACACACATGCACACAGCTGTTGCTGTCACACACAGGCTGGCTGTTTAGTAAAAGGGAGGAAAGAAGAAAAATAAATGCTGGAGGTCTGATGATGATGATTAACTTGTTGAAATGTTTCCGGTGAAGTCTCAAATWGACTCTTTTTCTGCTGATTGTTACTGACGTTAGCACGCAGACATGTTGGAGCTGTGGATCCAGAGGATGAGTGGGAGAGGACAGGGTCAGGTTCCCTCTCTGCACTTGGAAGTGGGCTAAAACATCCACCCAGCCCTTACTTCCCTCCTCCTRCCGCAGACCAGGACCCTATACATAGTAATGAAGCTGCTTTTTTATCTGTCTAGCTGTCTAGCAGATGGTCATTCTGCTGCCTCAGGATCGCTTTGTCTCAGATTCACCAGATTCTCTGGCTCAGAATCAATTCAGGACAGCAGAGGCAGAAACTGTCTTAAACCGTTGACCGAGGACTCACATGGCCTCTTCATTAGAGCTCGATCTATTTTTGCATTGGTGATTGGATCCATGCAAAACCTTAAACATCTACTGTTTGAGACGCAAAGGTTCTGGTTGCCCTTATTCCTTTAATCTTGCTTCACAAYGTTCAGATGACTGCATCCCCAATCAATAAATAAACAAACTACCATTCCACCAGGTAAAAAGTTTATGCTTTCCGATTGCGCCACATGTAGGCAAGAAGATAGCTTGGTCATCTTGCCAGACCCTGCTGGGGTCATAAGGCCACTAGAATGTCAAACAGCTGAAGAGAAAGAGGTTTATTTGATTTTAATGAAGTGCCAAGTCTTTGGTCATCCTGTGGTTGTATTAAGTTTCTCTTCCTRGATCCTGAAACAACAAACTGGAGGYCCAGTTTCATCATCAGGGTGCTTCTGGGTGGATTTGTGCTGGAGCACAAACTGATGAGTATTTCACTGAAACCAGAACTTTTTTATGGTTTTACTTCTTTGTACTGGTCACCATTAAAGGGGAACTTTTTTAAATTGTAGGATTAGAATTTAAAGTGGTAGATCTGATTCATCGATATACAGAAAATCCTCTGATTCAGTTTGATACCCTGGACAATCTCATTAGAGTTTTATGTTTGCTCCATATCTAGAATAAGTATTATTGTGCTTTATTTTTAGGTATTTCTCAAAAATGTTAATTTATACCATTTCTCTTCATATGGGCAAGAAAATAAAGATCTAAAATAAATCCACAGCAACTATAATTAAATATTAGTGTACTTCTTATTATGAAATTCATGTCTTAAGCATTTAAAGCAATATCAAATCAAATTAAATCAAATCAAATCATGACCCAAAGATTTAAAATCAAATTGAATTGCGAGGTTGCAGTACCCAGATCTGATCCTTTTGAGATAGAGTTCTGAATAAAGTTTGTGAACTATTAACATTTAATCTGTTGTAAACAGCTGTTTAAATGAGAAGGGGCTCTCTGCAGTCACTAAGTGGGAGGTGCTTGTTTTGTGGGCGTAGTTTGTTCAAGACCTGATTGGCCAGATTTATTCTGGGTGGGGCTTGAAGAAGCTGGGGGCAGCTGGGAGTACATTGGTGGAAACGACTAGGAAGCACCTGTTTTCAAATATAAATATGAGTTTTAGTCATAACTGGAGACAGGAAGGAGCTGGCTGCACCACATCTGATGCCAAGAAATCATATTTCCATCTTCACAGTAATGTTACTGTTACCATTCCGTCCACAGTGAACCTTCAAACTCTTCCAATCACTGTTAGGACAAAATCCAGCCAAACAAGAAACTCCCCCCGTGTACCGCAGAGACCCCTACTTGGTTTAAATGGCATAACTTTAGATCAGGACGGATTGCTGCCACTTTAAAACACCTTCAGTCTCAAAAGTTTACTAGCAGCTGTTGCAAATTTAAAATGACACAATTTACACAAACAGGTTATTTCCAGGTTTAAATATGTCCTGCACGCATGATTGTCAACTCTGTATGATCATAAATCATATCTGCACGCAGAAAGAAGACAAACTTTATAAAGTTTGAGGTGAAAATTCTCCCAGATGAGTCAGAGGCGCTTAAAAACGACGTGTTTGATGTTCTGTCATCTGGCTTTTAGCACAGAGGTCGAGACTAGGGCTGCCACAAACGATTATTTTTATAGTCGATTAATCACCGATTATTATATTTTGATTAGTCGACTAATCAGATCATACGTTAATTGAGCTTATCACGCCAGAATGCAGCTGCTATTATATAACCATGGTTAGATTTTAGCTATATGCTAACTAAAAATAATTGCTGTGGAAGGTAAGTTCTGCTCTGCAGATATTACACAGGTTTCTCTTTCATTTTCTTCAAATGATCCCACACTTTGAGCTCTGTTGTCAGGTAGCCATGATACCAGAGCCTGTCTGTATAATGTCTTGTGACGTCCACGGCCTACCCCAGTTACCACTACTGTGCATGTGTGTCAACGACAGAAAGGCAGATGTGGCAGTGGAAGGTGTCAAAGCAGTTTGGAGAGAAATTAAAGTAAAGAACAAAAAAAAAATAAACCAAACCCCAAATAAATGATTAATCGATTATTAAATTAGTCATCGACTATTTTAATAATCGATTAGTCGTCGACTAATCGACTAATTGTGGCAGCCCTAGTCGAGACGAGTGACGTGTTTGGAAAGCTGCCTCTGCTTGTGCATTTAGAATTTTACATCTTTATTATATACGATAATGTATGATTATTTATATATATATATATATATATATATATATATACATAATGACTTTGAAAGTGTCGTTTAACAGCAACAACCAGGAAGTGACTCTCCTGAATCTTTGACTAATGTAAGCTCTGTGAAGATGAAGTGGTTTTCGTTGGCGCTCATTTAGGTGAATTAATTTCACAATTAAAGGGTGTGAATGCTGCTGGTTTGTTGTTTTTGTAAAGTAACTTACAAGAACAAATGAAATAAAGGCTGATATTTTTTAACACATAATTACTAAATCACTGACTGTATGAAGATGTTGAGATTCAAAAGGTGTTTCTGTTCTTGAACACAGTCCACTCAGGACGTTTGAATTGTGGACACGTCCCACAGCCTCTTGTCTGACTCTGCTGTCAAAACCCAACAGTAATTCCATTCCTTAAGTTTAATCCTGTAATCTCCCCCAAGATAAAAAACAAAACAGTTGCGCCTAATTTGCCGTAGAGCTCGGTGAAATTGCTTCCTGGAAATAAATTTAATTGAACGCAGGAGATTAAAGTGGGGCTTTCTGCGAGGCTTTAACTTCACCTTAAATGTTCTTCTTCCAGGCCGAGCGTGTGCGTTTGAAACGTTTTCTTGGAGCTGTTATCTGGCTTCCTGAGCTCGCAGGGGACTGTTTGGTTTGTTTCTGAATGTGTTGAATTAATGCTGCCGTAGAAGAAGGTGGGAGCCAGAACCATGGCAACCTTCAGTTTGGATTAGCGTGGGACGTGAGCTGGCAGGAGATGTGCACGCCGCACGCACGTGCACGTAAAATCGATATGTGCTGCCAAGTGGAGCCCGACCCAGTGCAGCCTGACATATACAGATGCTCATTTGCTGCTTTTTCTGATTGAATCAAGACATTCTTTTCTCCTGCAGCGTAAGGCTATCAAACTTTTCAAATCGTATTACTCAAACTCCACCGCTGTATTTTCTTTTCCCGCTGATGTTTTTGTAGTCCAAGCATGTTTTACCTTTATATTTTAAACTTTTTCTCTGCTTCTGCCACACCGTAATCTAAGGTTTTATCTTCTTTTTTTCATCCCCAGTCAGGGAGGCATGTTGTTAATTATAGTTGGGTCACTGTCAGAACGTTTTCAGCGTTAACACTCCTCTCTCCCTCCCCCCCGGCAGGATGATGAGGTGGTGCTGCAGAGCGTGGCCACCATCCAAAAGGAGCATCGCAAGTTCTGCCTGGCCGCAGAGGGACTCGGAAACCGTCTGTGTTACTTGGAACCCACCTCTGAAGCTAAGGTGAGGAGGGTTGGGCGTGTCTGTGAATATTCAACTTTTCTTTGAAATTCCACCTAAAAGTCCAAAACGTGAAAACGATTTGGAGCAACTCGTGAAAGTTTTGCTCGTTTTCTCTGACACCTTATTGATCCAGAGGCTAAAACTTGTTGAAGGCAGACCAGTGTGCTCACAACTCTTCACCAAAGTTGGACAGATAATAAATTGGAGGAGAGTTGGTGCAGAATTTAGCGGATCATTGAAGGTGACGGCTGTGGGTTTGTCGTGAGGAACAGGGACTGTTATCTGCAGCGTGACATTTTTCAGATAAAGTCTGCCTCTGCTGAAAAACAATAAAAAGGCTGAAGTGAAAGATGTACTCTCTGGGTTTCTTAAATAAGAATTCAAAATTTGCCAAAGAAGTTTAAAGCCTTCCACAGATAATTAATGAAAGTTTTAGTTTATTGAAGAAAACTGCCTCTTGTTATTGATGAAGATGTGATTTTTAAACATTTTGTTTCATATTTGTTTACTTGTTTATTGTAACTTCCACAGTCATAGATATCAAAGATTATTTAACTTCTTTCATGTTCCACATTTGCTTAATTGAAGAAAATTATCTTTAAAGATACATTTTTTTAACAGGCTCACTATGTTTTAGTACAGATTAAAGTATTTTTGTCTTCCTGTTTTATTTTGAAAACTCCATTCCCTTTGTGTGTTGTGTTTTTTACTTCCTGTTTGTCCTGAATCAAAATCATTTTTTGTTAACCTCCAGCTCATCGGTTTGCTTCTGTTTTCAGTCACTTTGACACTTTTTCTGCTTCTTGTGCAGCATCCGTCCAGTGAGTTTTTAGAATTACTTCTTGTGTTATCACTTCCATTTTATTCACTTAGTACTTTTTTGAGTTTCTAATGAAATAACTTAATTAAACAGAAGTAGCTTGTGTTGACGAGATGGTTTTTAATAGACCCACTTGTTTGTTTTGAGTACTTTATGCAGCAGGATGAACTATGGATGAAATAAATTGGATTCTTGATAACAAAGCTAACTACTTTTAGCTTTAACAGCTCAGTGTCAGCACTTAGTATTCACACTGCGTTTTTACAGAAAAGGGATTTTCTCTCATTTTATCTGATCCCCCCTGAATGGTCTAAATGTCAAATAATTCAGTTTGAATCTCCTGAGGGTTACTTTGACCTTCTATTTCAGCTCATATTATCGTAGTAATTCGAGCTGCCTGTCGAGCATTAATTTGACTCGTGAACACGAGCTGGATCTTGCCTGATGAGTCATGCACAGCTGATCTTTGCATCTCTAGAATAAAAAACTGCAACATTAGAGATGAATCTTTCCTCTGAGGTGTTCTGATGAAAAGTAAATGACGTGACAGACGTTGCTGCGTCACAGAAGCCGTTCTCTGATGAGCTGGAAATATCCAAGTGTTAATGTTCACCGTCTGAAGAACATGCCAGTGTTTGTTTTAGTGCCCTGGAGCCTGGACACTGGCTGTAGTGTTGGAGGTTGGAGTTGCGTTCCGCAGCAGATGCGTCCTCATTATCACCCCTCTGCACTGGTCTCTGCTCACAGTTCTCACTTCCCTGCAGAGGTCGGGGGTCAGCCGGGTGTCTTACTGAAGGAGGGAGCGTGCAGTCCTTTACTGTTTGCTTCTGCAGTGGAAAAAGGATGGAGAAAATAGTTCTCCTTTTTTAAGTTCAGTTTATTTATAAGTTCATCTTTGTATTGTAAAATATAAAATGAGTCTGAATCATAAATCCTGTTCAGATCCATACAGTATAAATGTACTGGTTATCAGTGCCACTCAGGAATATGAACTGATGCCTGTTCACACGTGTGGTGTAGGGCTACACAATATATTGCACATATTGTCATGGCAATATCAGTGTGTGCAATTATCATACGGCAAAGGCCTGCGTAGAGTGCACTAATTGTTGACCAATGTATTTTATTTCTTCCTGTTAAAGAAAAAAAAAAACTTTTGTAGGTCTTCTGGACGGGTTCTTCTCTAATGAAACGTTTCGTCTCTCCTCCAAGAGACTTCTTCAGTCTGAGAGTTTCAGGCAAAATTCAGGCTTTTAAGCACTGCCTCCATGTGACTTTTTAAGCACTGCCTCCATGTGACTTTTTAAGCACTGCCTCCATGTGACTTTTTAAGCACTGCCTCCATGT